TCCTTCTCTTTCTCCCTCTCTCTTTCTACGGGCTCTGCTGACTGTTTGCTCAGGTGGACAGTGACACCATTTGGAATGAGCTGCACTCGTCCGGTGCTGCACGCATGGCTGTTGGCTGTGTCATCGAGCTGGCTTCCAAAGTGGCCTCAGGAGAGCTGAAGGTGAGGTCTGGGTTGCATTAAGTGTGGGAAATCCAGAGAAGAAGCTGAAACAGAGATGTTGTTGTTTGGGAATTGTGGGGAGTGTGGTGTGGTAATAAAAGGAAAGGGGCCGAGGGAAGAGGGCAGGGAAATGGCCACGAAGGTGTGATAATAACTGGTCTGTAGGTAGGTAGCAGCTGATCCTGCTTGCAGGGCCTGCCTCCCCTTGGGGGAACTCTGCGGTCAGGGCACACTGGTGTGTTTTTAAGAGCATAGAAATGGTGAGTAAAGCTATGGTCCAGGTTAAAAATACCCAATATATACATATCTGTCATGCCCTCCTGGGATTCTCTTTTGAAGCGATTTAAAAAAAATATGATTACTGAGTACTATGTATAAGCTCAGAATACCACCCAGAGAGAAGGGGGGGGCTGGGGGAGAAAGGTAAATACCAGACGGGAAGGATTGGGAGGAAGAAGGAAATTGTTGATTAGAAGGGTAATGATCCAGAATATGTTTTTCCACGAAAGAACTTCAAAAATGAGCTACGCTTTATTGTTCTTTTCTTTTTACGATCTCTTCTTTTCTACATCATATGAAAAGAACAATGTCCAAACGCAGCGTTTCCCAGTCTAAACAATTTATAAAAGCCAGAGACCTGACAGACGATGACATTTTATTTGGTATTTTAACAGTGCCATTTAAAGGTATGCCATGTGCATCTCGAATGCAGTTGCCCAGTAAATTTTGTTAATGCTAATGTGGCTTTTTAATGCTCTAGTTTACACACTTCATAATGAAATCTGGGTGGTTATTGATTTGATATTCTTAGCAATTGTGGGACTTAAGGGAAATATATTGTGATCAACAACATACTGTGAGTTTTGTTCATCTAAAATAAAGTCTAATTAGCATTATTTTTCTTAAGTCTGATGAATTTTATTCAATGCCACTTGTGATTAAAAAATGAAGGTTAGGAATGTATACTTTATAATGTACTGTCTATTGCAGAAGTCTTTGTTCTATCTCTTTAAGAAGTTGGAATCTACAGAAATATAATTTTGATAAGGTGGGCTATATTAAAATATACATACATATTTATATATGCCTTACGTAAGGTTGACATGATCAATTTCAGGAAATTAATTGCTCATCTCGGAATTTACAGGGCCATTAATGTGATGTTAACTACTCAGTCTTTGGTAATGAGCTATTGAAGAGAAAAGGACTCAACCTTATGGAGAGGTTTTGGCTGCTTCCTAGTAGCACTTTAGCAATCATTGCTTCTGTTGGAGTATGTCACTTGTAGCACTGGAATAGATTAACTTTTTAAAAGAATGATATTTGAATTTTTTCAAAAAATTTAAAATCATTTCTTCAATTAAATAAATAAATAAAAAAGAATGATATTTGAGGGTCTTATTTTTGGAAGAATTCAAACGACAGACAACAGCCGAGATGCAATATTACAGTTTTTAAAACATTGTCCTGGCATCAACCCACTTAATAACAAAATGATTATGTTAACATTCACAGTTTCTAATTATTTTGACTTTTTGGAAGTTTAATCAATAATTCAGAAACCTTCTCAAGTAGACAAATCATCCTCATTAGCTCCACAGAATGCAGAATTGCCAAAAGTATATATGGAGAGTGTTGAACAAAAACCTAATTCTGTTCTTAGGAGGTAGTCGCTTAAAACAGCTAATTACAAACAAAGTGACAAAAACATAAACTACGGACATGGTGACCGCCAGCTGTACCAACATTGGCTATTTATGTTACAATCAAGAATTCATACAAATGCTTTTTCTCCCCTTGGTTGAGAAATCAGCAGGTATGGTTGGTTAAAAAAAAAAGAGAGAATAGAGAAAGAGCCTGCCTAAAAATCGAGAAATCTTAGTTCAGCCTCCACAAATTAAATGCTGTGTCATTTGTGGCAAATCAGTTCACTTCTCTGGGCCCCAGTTTCTTGTTCTGCAGGATCAGCAGGGTGAAATTTATAATGTTGAAGGTCAAGTATGGTGCTGACATTCTGAGCTATTTGCAAATGAAAAGTGGATCTGATTCTCAATTATACACACTGTGGCATACCAAGTAGTAGATATTCCAAAACTAATTTCAACTTATTTTGGTGAGTATTCCAGATTTTGCAGCTGATTTATCTTTCTGATTGCTAAGCCCAAAATAAAAGCCCAAGACAGGCAGGATCATAACAAAGGCAGTGGTGCTGACAGGCCAAGAGACTGAACCCATCAGTTGCTAATAATTTGGAGAGACCTATGGGAATGCTGTTTGGGAAATGTAACAGTTACAAATGATTTGTGGCCACAGTGAAGAATTGAGGTCCAGAGCCATGTGGCCATGTTTACAGACCTCTAGCTAACCAAAAATGCTACTTAGTGTCTACCTGTCCCAGATGACAATATGACCTGCTGGCCAGGAGCATTAACACTTAAGGCTGTGGAGTCACTTCATTTAGATCTATGAAGAAAATAGGGAAGCTTATTTGAGGACATTGGTAAGTTATCCTCTGATAAGAGATGTAAAAAGAGAAAACTTTAGTGTTTCATTTCTTGTTTTCTGCATCTACGTTCAGTCTCACACGTTCTACTCCATTCTCAAGGTAAATCAATAGCTTAATAAAACAACATTCGCACATCATAATACTGCATTTCGTGAGACTCTACTAATTTTACTTGGAAAAAGAGATTTAAGAGCTTTATTTCATATAGGATGGGCTTGAGTGCAATGCTGAACTGAGACATGACAGACGGCTGGAGACACTGAACCCATAGAGGATAGGGAGATAAGAAATATGCACAAAAAAAGGACAATGCCAAAGACGAATTTGATTACTCAGAATTTTTACTTGATGTTGAACTTGATCATGACCACTTCCCTAACTTTTGACCTTCCTTCACCTGAGGGTACTGATGGACTGAAGGAACTAGAATGAACCAGGCGCGAGGAGTAGGTCTCGTGTTGATGCTTATCGTGTGTAGTAATCTATGTCAGTAAATTGGTATGTTCTTGGTACAGAATGGACATGCTCACTGGAGTTCATTAGAAATTATGGGGGCATTTAAGTTTTCTGGGTTTTTAACAAGCTTTTAAAAAAAATCCACACATTTGGGAATTTACAAATGCCCAAATTAACTATTTATCAGATTCTGGTACTAAGGAGCACAAATGTTTTGAAATGGTGAAATTTTTGGTGTATTAGAAACTATAAGTGGAAGAATAGTTATCTTAAAGTGGTTTTATTATGCTATAGTACATTTTTAAAAGTATGTCTGGAAATAGAAATGTTTCTAAAAGATGAGCATTTTTTCAAGTTACAAATGGTTCAATACTTGGTTCAAAGATGGTGCAAAATATCATGCTGTAGGCCTTAAAAACATACAATTTTTATTTGTCAATTATACCTCTATTAAGTTGGGGGAAAATGGTTCAACACTTATCAAGTTTTACTATAGGGATTCATTTTGGTGCTATTTTTGGTAATGCTATAATGCCCTGAAGAAAAAGTAAAAATTGCTTTAGCTGTCTGGAAATTTTTTGTCAAAAAAACTCCTGATTATCTGAACATGGGTGAATTTTTTAATATTTGAATGGGTATTGCGATGTCATGTTGTCAGTAATACCTGTGTTTTATTGAGAACCTCCTATAGGCTGGCAGTTTGCATGTAATTTGCCATTATCCTCACATTGTCCTTTAAGGTTAAGTACCACCAATGGAATATACAATGGAGACATCAAGTAACTTTCTAAGATTCTCCACACAGTTTAATAACTGTCCAAGCCTACAGCAATCCCCTGTTCTCTTTCAACTGCTCTAGAAATAATTTCTTGTAGAGTTAGCACAAATATGTAAGAAAAAAAGAGTGAAAGCAACCTTTTTCAAATGGTCTAGATTCTTTTTTATTATTATAAAACATTTAATACATACAAAAAGATAAGAAGTTACATTAATATCTTACGAAGCACAATAATAAAATAAACACCTTTGAGCCCTTCATCTAACCTAAGAAATAGTACTTTGCTAACACTAATCGAAGTTCTTTCAGTCCTTATCTCATTCCTATCTTTTTGACCCAGGAATAATCGTTAATCTCTAGTATTTTAAAACTTATTTCTTTCCCTTTCTTTAATAATCTTAACCATATGTTTTAAAACTTTATAAGAATTGAATCTTATCAAATGTATTATTCCTCAAATTTCTTTGCCCCCACTTAAAATCATGTTATGAAGATTTAGCCATAGGAATTTATATAGCTGTGATTCTTGCGTTTTTATTGCTGTAATGTGTTCCCTTGTACATCATAATTTGTTTATTTATCTTTCTGTTGGATATTTTAGTTGTTTTCAGATTTTACTCTTTTGAACAATGCTGCTGTGAACACTTTCGAATATGCTCGCCATTTCACTATGGTATAACTATGAATAAACTGGCAAGCTCGTAGGCTAGAAACAGTAAATTTCACTAATGCAAAGTAGAATTCCAAAGTCATTTTGCCACAATGACATCAGCAAAAAATGGCAGTTTAAACCTCTGAAAATTATTTTTTATAAAATCAATGACAAAAGTTACAAAAATTTTTTAACTCTGAAAATTAACCAAAAACTTGCAACAACTCAAGACATGTATATTCAAAACAAAACTGGCCAAATCTGGGTAAAATCAGTGAGCTTTGTGATGTTTTAACTCACCCTATTCTCATCTTACTCTTTCCACTTCCATAGTAGCCTTAACAAATAACAGCTTGCATTCTCACTGAAAATCAGTAACTTAGCAGTCTCCAGAGGGGGCGCAATGGGTTGAAACTTCTTCAAAGCCTCATTCTCTGAATGCACAGAGAATTATCATTATTTGACCCTTCTGGTGCTTCAGTATAAGACTCCATAAGCAAGGCTATCTTTATTTGACCTGACTTGGGGTTCACCAAATGCGAAAAGCCTTTTCCCAAGAAGCATTTGTTGAAAAGGATTAAAGGCCATGTACTAATTCCCGGCTGCCT